ATATAGAAAAATAAAGATGTACCAACCCTTGGCCAATAGAACCTTTGTTAATGAAGATTAACTCGGAGTACATAATGAAATGTACTGTAGGTTTACATTGATATCGGCACGTCTGACAACTTGAAATTTTTTCCGTGTATTATCACATGGAAATCGATGGCTGGGTGTAAAAACATGATACATCGAATTGGCGTTGAAAAACATGATACGTCGGATTAGCGTTGGAAAACATGACATATCGTCGTTTGATTTGAAGAACATGACACGTCGAAAACGAAATTTTTTTTTCAAATTTCTGTTGGTACCACTGACCGTGAAATTTAAAATGGTTTGTTATATATTACATTTTTTAAGAATATATGATGATATTAAAATAATAGAAGTAAGACCGATAGTATAGCTCGGGCGGTGAAGCGTCTTGGTTTGCGGTCGCCGAGGTTAAGCACATCCAAGCACGGTTAGTACTTGGATGGGTGACCGCCTCGGTACCCGCTATAGCCCTGGTGTTTTCGCTGCAATCGAGATATACTAAGCGGGAGGTTTGACGTCGAGGATATGTTTGTGCATTTGGATGACTATTTTAATGTACATTCATGACTCGACAGTCAATAAACCGGCTGTATTCAGTAGAGGTTTTCCGTAGTTTCCCTCTTCTCTGATCAAGAAAGGGTCAGGCAAATGCGAATACTTCTAATAAAAGTCGGCTACGGACCGCAATTTGGGGACTTGAGGAATTTGGGATTTTCAAAAAGGTGGGGTTAAAGATGGGGTATACAGAGCGTAAAAACTATAAAAAGGTGTACGCAGGAAATCTAAATAAAAAAAAAAAAAAAAATAATAATAGAAGTAAAATCTTGCACTATACACATATAATTTTGAATATTTTACATGAAATTCGTTTTAAATTAACGGGATTACAATACTGTATTCAAATGGTCGTCTGTATTACACCGTCCGACACGATTTCTCACACACGAAAAAATCAATGATTTTCAGAAACTTGGACCAAAAAAAAGATACCCGTGTCTAGCCGTTTTGCTAGATCAGGTCATTTTTTGCTTTTAGGGGTAAAAAAACCCTTAAATGAAAACTGATAGGAAATCTTGTACAAATTAATAATTTTTTATGAAACCTGGTATCCGGGGGTTTTCCGGGTCGCTGATTACGAATCTGATGTCAGATTTTCAAAATTCAAAATTTCGGATCCAATATGGCGGTCGAAATTTATAAAAATTAATTATTTGTTATAAAACTTGGTATCTAGGGGTTTTTAAGGTCGCTGAGTACGAATCTGAAGTCATATTTTTAAAATTCAAAATTTCACATTCAATATGGCGTTTCAAATTTAAAAAAGTTCGTCGAATTCACTTGAAACTTGTTACTTGAAGGTTTTTGAAGTTGCTGATTACAAATTTGATGTCGGGTTTTCAAAATTCAAAATGTCGGATCCAATATGGTGGCCGAAATTTATAAATGTTATTAATTTTTTATAAAACTTCGTATCCCTGGGTTTTTGGGGTCGCTGAGTACGCATCTGAAGGTAGATTTTTAAAATTCAAAATAGATCTAATAATGTATAAGATTAGAAAACAATATATAAAAAATAAAAATTTCCACATATGTGTTTTTTGTATATTAGACAAAGTTAAAACAAATGACAGTTGTTTATATGTTCGTTTTCAGTTGCATAGTTGCAGAAAATAGTACATAAAAAAAATGACAATTGTAGACTTTTTTACTTTGCACAGCAGTTTTAAACAATCACTTCACATCTTTAAATTCATCTTACTTGAGCTTATTACTGTTATCTAATAAAAATATTCTTACTTACTACAAAGCCTGTGATTGTTTAAAACTGCTGTGCAAAGTAAAAAAATCTACAATTGTCATTTGTTTTATGTACTATTTTCCGTAACTATGCAACTGAAAACGAACATATAAACAACTGTCATTTGTTTTAACTTTGTCCAATATACAAAAAACACATATGTAGAAATTTTTATTTTTTATATATTGTTTTCTAATCTTATACATTATTAGATCTATTTTGAATTTTAAAAATCTACCTTCAGATGCGTACTCAGCGACCTTAAAACCCCTAGATACCAAGTTTTATAAAAAATAATTAATATTTATTAATTTCGACCGCCATATTGGATCCGACATTTTGAATTTTGAAAATCTGACATCAGATTCGTAATCAGCGACCCGGAAAACCCCCAGATACCAGGTTTCATAAAAAATTATTAATTTGTACAAGATTTCCTATCAGCTTTCATTTAAGGGTTTTTGTTACCCCTAAAAGCAAAAAATGACCTGATCTAGCAAAACGGCTAGACACGGGTATCTTTTTTTTGGTCCAAGTTTCTGAAAATCATTGATTTTTTCGTGTGTGAAAAAAAAGTTGAATTTTGTCGGACGGTGTTATTAATTACTTTTATTATTATTATTATTACTTTATAGGTAAATCCTCTAGGAAATGAATAATTGGAGGGTTTACTAGAAAAAATTTACCTGAGTTAATTTAATTTATTTAATAATTGTGTTTTAAAAAATATACTTTACTTACTCTCCATGATTGACTCTTTAAACAAATATTATTTCAAAATGAAAAAAATATGTATATACGAGTATTAGACCTTCAGAACAATTACCACAAACAATACCAATCCTTGGACAATAGAGCCATTGTTAATGAAGATTAATTCTGAGGGGCCAGGTAATAATTTTTAAATTTTTTTATTAAAATTTTCTGGGGCTCTAATACAGGTAGGGGAGAGTGACAAACAGTGGGACAGTTTAAACAGTAGAATACTTTAATTTTCTGTAAAACGACTTAAAGAAACTCGACCAAAATTTAAATGTAAACCATGTTTATGACAAAACACACAGAAAAAAACTGAGTTCATTTTTGTTGCAGTTCATTCTGAATTCGGTATCATAATGAACAACAACTAACTTCAAGTTACTCAAAATGAACCAGACCCGGATCAAATGTCAGGTTATGTCAGATTCTGTTGAAATTCAAGATTTTTAGATTATTATGTTGGCAACAACTGCAACTTATGTATGCAGCACCACACTGGCGCAATATTCAAATTGAAATGATAGAAATATTTTTTACTTTAATTTAACAATAAATTTGAATAATTATAGTTAATAATTATAGATAATATATAACAATTGTAAAATATACAAGAATTACAATTAAAAAAATGGTATGGGATAAATTTATTAAAACAAGTTTAAATAAAAATGTATATATATATATTGTAACGTGGATTTTTAAATAATCACGTACAAAGCCGTAAAAGTCTCGCTGAAAAATCTAATATTATTTATTACGAATTATCAAGCCAAATTATTTAATTAAATTGAAAGAATGCTGGCCAAGCCCGAACTCGCCAATTATTTATAATAATATTTGTTGTTATTTGTTGTTGATATTGTTGTTGATCTGAGAAGTACTATAATTTGCATTGTTCAATTTAGTATAAATTTATAGGAGAAACCACACTTCTTTCAATTATTGTAAATAATTTAAAGAATTAGATATTATAAGAAAACGTTGATTGGTCAAAAGAAGAAGATGCAACTGCAGTATGCAAGGATGCATTGAAGGCTCTATTCAACTCTTACATTTGACACTTTGTGACCGGAACAAATCATTTTTGGTCACGGGCAACCACCCCAGCTTCAAGGGACTGATGGGACTACCGTTGCCACCCTGCAGGGGCAAATTATAATGCGCATGTTCCAGTGGAAAATAGGCGTCTAATCGCCTAATTGCCAAGTTTCCAAAATTCAGTGCGAGCTTGGATAGCCGCGAGAACGCAACGAAAGAAACCCGCGTCACTGGTGCTCTTTCTTAATATTAGTTATTTTAAAGAAAAAGACGTCAAATGGATCGTCCCGCGGAATATAGAGAAATGCTGCGACGTATCCGAGGTTAGTGCCGACCTCATCCACATTCTCGTTGGCAATTTATACCTGGTTCACCAGGAGTCCAAGAGTAAAGCAATCTTCGACGCCAACGCCGGCCAGTCACGTTTTCATCTACGATACACCGGAAGTGTGGTTATTTCTAAAAGGACTTTAAATTCAGTATTAGTTTTGTTTGTTGTAAAAGATTAGAAAATTCAGTAAAATCATTAATAATAAATGCCAACTTCTCTTATAGTAAAAATAGAGAAACTTATCATTTATTTCAGTGAGTGTTGTGTCGTTTTCTCCTCTCTCGGCATCGAGAATCCACAGTTAAAAAAAGTCATGCTCGAAACATCCTCGAGAGCTCGGAATAAGAGCTAGACCGGCGTGCTCTCGAAGAATAAAGTGTCGCGGAGGTCCGGGTAGTTGTCTACCTGGCGCCCGGGGAAGCTCCCCGAATAAATAAACGGATCGTCGCGGGTATTTCCACGAGTTCGAAGTGTGGAACTTGTGGATTATTTTGACCGGAACATCCGCCATTTTTGTAGCGTTTCTTTTATAGGGAATTTTCCCTTATTGCTAGAAGTCACGTTGCAATATATATATATTACATTAATTATATTAATATTTATTTAATATTAATAACATTAATTAATATTAATACTTTTATATTATTTGATTAGAATTATTTATATATTTATATATTACAAAACTGGACTGTGGATGTAAAATAATTATATTATACATAAAGTAGTAATTATAATCTGTCACATAATAATATTCTTAAATTTATTATTTGATTATTTTTAAAATTAAAAATATTACATATATATTAAAATATTTTTTTTAAAAAAGACATTCATTAATATTTATTTTATAAAAAGGGATAGAACAATAATTGAAACAGAAAAAAGCGTTTGACAATTATACGTATAATTGATATTTAGAATTTTATTTTCTATAAAAAATAACTCCAAATTAAAATCTAGTAATTAATTTGTTTAAATTTAGAAAACTTAACTTAAAATAATTAAACTATTTTATAAATCATAATAATTTGTTAATCATAAAAACTGACTTGTCAATGTTAAATTTGTAAAAAAGCCAAGAATTAAAACCTATTTATGTTAAAAGATTACATTATTTTATAAAGGCTTACAAATAATATATCAATAGACAGTTTTTCGAATCTAATAACAATATTAATGTAAATCGCCCCATAATTGTTTTAGAATAATAAATTTTTTATCTTGTAGATTATGACTATGAAAAACTTTGTGAAATACTAGAGATCGCAGAGAATGTAGAACGAAATTTTCTGTCCTTTTTATTTCAAATGCCATAAGTTCCATATTGTGTCGAACGGTTTGCACAATTTTTCAAACAAACAAGGGGTCGGCGTCATTCCAAACAATTTTGTATAATTCTGCAAAAACCGGAAGTCTTTCCTCGTATCCAACTGCTACATAGCATTTTACGACAACAAATTTTATTCCATTAATTTCTTTCGACTTTACGAAACACAACTTTTCTTGAGCAGGAAAGAGTGACCTGAAAGTAATGAGATTATGTAACAGTTAATTATATAAACTTGACAATCAGAAAGTTAACACCAAAATTTGATTTTGTTTTTCTCTGACTTCCAGACGGATAATTGTTTTTTTCACTGATTTAAATAAAAAAATTTAAACAAGTTTTTAATATAATAAAATTTTACAGGAATAATTTTAGTCAAAATTTAAATTAATTTTTCAAAAACAGAACTTTTTATAAAATTCCCTGACAATTTTATTTTTCAGACTTTTCCCTGATTTACCTGAATGACAACCCTGAATTTATATATGTATTGAAAAAGTAATTCTTATAAATTTTTTACCTGAAAGGAAAAGCAGATGAGACAAAAATCTTCTTTGGTCCACTTTCAATTTCATTATCTGTTGAGACAATCCACTTCAAAGACTAGAGCAACTGATGTTTCCACGCCAAAGGTAAAGGCAAATTTTTCCAATTACGCATTGCTTGAACAACCTTTTTAAAGAATTGATGTTTTGCCTCAAATCTCATTGTCTAGAAATTTATTAAAGGGCCAAAGATTTTAATAAGCCTAGGATAATGTACAAGGAAATGTTGTTTTGGTATGAATTTCTTTTTAACACCTGTAGCAGACTTATAAATTTCCGCGTACGTTTCCAAGTAAAGAGAGATGAGCGATTCCAAGTAACTTAATGTCTTCATTGAGATTTTCGGTGAGCAAACGATAGCCATTATTTCCAGTAACTGAATGAAATTTTCTAAATAATGACAATTTTTATCATTTATTCGATCAAAAACGATAAATGGCAAAATAACAGCCAACGTCCACATATGTAATGCCGTCTGTTTAATCGTTTTAATTTCTTTTAAATGATTAGCTTTTATGGGCGACGGTTTAGAAGATTTCTCTCTGAATCCGTAATCGAAATTAGCGACTTTTGTATTAAATTCTTCTATGGTCATATATTTCTCTTTCAGACAAAAGCGGTCAAGGAAAACTTTCGTTTGTAAAGGAACAATACCTAAGAAAAAGTCGTGACCAACATCAGGTGGTGACGTTGTGGTTGGATGACATCCGCTTAATTGGCTTAAAGGGGTCTTTCTATTTATTCCATATTCTTCACATAATTTTTTTTATCGTCTTCAGTTGCAGCAGCTTCAATTACAGCTAGTTGTTCGTCATGTGTGATGGTGATCGTAAACGTTGATTGTCCTTTCTTGTCATGATATGTATTTCTTCCAATGAAACTACACAGTATTGACATGGGTGTTCGGCTGAATAAGATTCTTTGAAACCCCAAACGAACTTTACACCCTGGTTATCTCCCGATAGTGCAGAGACTCCTCCACAAATTTTTTCCCCATTCGGCAATAAGATTCCATTTTCCACTTGTTTTAGGTCTTCAACAAGCATTTCAGCGAGTGGATTAAAAGTATACTTTTTAATAATCGGATATTCAGCAATTGCAACTAAATTTATAGAAGACAAACTTCCTTGATGATTAACAGACCGATTACCATACTGGTAGTAAACAAATCCTAATTTATGTTTTTTTCCTGCTCTTGAATCCAGTGCGTCACACAGTTCTGTTTCATCATAATAAAATTTGATCTCCACTGATCTTTTATTTAAAGAAAAAATTGGATGAGTTTTATATCTTGTTCCATTCCTGAAGGAACTAAGAAGACTTTCTTCACTTTCGGAACTGAAATTAAAACTTTCAAAAAAAGAATCTTGACTGAGATGCTTCTGAAGAATTTTGTGAATAGGGATGTAGACAATTCCATCGGATTTTAGTTTAATATTTCGATTTCTAACTGTAAGTTGTTCTCCAACTTGCAAAAAATGTGCTGAAATTTCTTTATAAACTGGTTGAACGATTTTAAATTTTTCATTGAAGAAGACATTTTGCTTGTGTATAGTGTTTAATCCGTGAACGGTGTCTATCGAAATAATCTCTTGATCAATATCTATATAATCACTAATATCGCAAACACCAGCGTCACTTAAGACTTTTTTTGTTTTTAATAGACTGTCATGCACATACCTTTTAACTACTGCGTCTAATCCTTGAATAACGTTCAAGACAACGTCATTCGTAACCTGACATTGTGCTCTCATGCTCAATAACATAAGACCAAGGGTTGTCTTTTGAAGATCATGATGATTTAAATCGACAATTTCATTATTCATATTTTCTTCATCATCGATGTTCGAAATATTTGAATCGTCGCTGTCATCGTTTAAATCGGTGTTATATGAATCATCGTTGTCAACTGAATTAGAATTATCGCTGTCGTCGGAATTTAAATCATTGTTTCCATTAGAGTTTGAGTCATCGTTGAGATTAGAGTTTCTTGAATTATCGTTGTCATCGTTAAAATCATTCAAAGTGCCATTATCAATATCATCAGGATCACTCAAATTTATGCTGCTTAAATGAGCATGATGACTGTGTCTGTGAGATCTGAGAGATGTTGCCTTAAAAAACTGCATCGCAATTATTTATCCCACAAACAATCTGAAATTCAGGATGATGAGAATGACACCTTATTAAATGTTGCTCGAAGTCGTCTCTCTTAATTTCCTGACCGCAAAAATGACACTGCACATCTCTGGTCTCCATTTGGCAGTAATTTTTTTCAGTTACTCAAATCCCTACAACAATAAATATAATTATTTTTTTCGAAAAAGGATTTACGGTCAAACCACTGAAAATCATCTGAGAGTGGTTGCTCACATATTTTTAAAAAATCTACTTTTAATATTATTTGAAATTTGATGAATTGCTGAGTTTATTGGTCATAATATTATTGTGTGAATTTTACTTCGTTTGAAATTATTATTAATTCAAAATATGAGGTTCACGACGTTATTTCGTAACGTTAAATGTTGCACTTTTTTAAACGTTATTATTCATAAACTATCAAATATAACATATAATTATTTACAGGAAACATAAATCAATTTGTTGAGGGTATTTTGCTCCGTTTCGGAAATAAAAAATCGGAAATTTGCAAAATTTTTACTTAAAAAGATGAATTCTACGACTTCCAAGTTTTACTTCTCTTTCCATTTTTATTTTAAATATTAAAAAACAATGCACAAATTATTGTTTCCTTTAAACTTGTTTTTAGGTTATACATGAGAATAGTCGTACTAAGTTGTTCATGTCATTGTAAGAATGTTTCAATTTTGTGCTTGCTGTTTTTACAATTTTTATTTATTCTTTTTGTGACAAAATTTAAATAATTAAAAAAATTCAATTCAATATTTTTTCCTCATTTTTTCACATTTTCTCGTTTTTAATGGAACAAGTTTACATGTTGAGGTTATATAAATAGTATGCTTTCATAACACTATACTCTACGGGTAATAAAACACTTTTTAAAATAATTTTAATTGTACACTTACCATCTTTAAATATTAAGTTTTCATTCTTTTTTACTGAATCGGAATACAATGTGGCTTTTTCAATCGTTCATTGAACGAAATATTTTGCACAACTAATATATCGTGTTCAGTTATTTTCGGTAGCCTGGAGATAATCTGAACCTTATTGGGATCTGAAATACTGCGATACGCCATCTGGTGACGACCTCGTTGTGTCAGCCATTTTTCGTTTCATCCTTTTTAAAATATATGTAGAAGAAAGAGATAAAAAATCAAGATGGCTGACCCAACGAGGTCAGTTTCCCCATAATTCCCTATGATTTCAGATCCCAATACACAATTTCTCAGTTTGATAGTAATTTCCTTTGTTAATTACTATTTTCATTTGTTAGCAATTACAATTGTAAACATCAACAATAAACAGAAACAGTAGAGTGTTGATGATCTGCCATTTTGTTGGATCAGATGTTGTCTGCTTCAATCGAACGTAAATTCAATACTTCGATAGTTCGATTGTCGTTCGTTTCTTTCTTGCACGCATGCGTAAATGTTTATTAAAATACCCCAGAACGAAATTGCTAAACGCTTTCGAAATTTTCTCCTCTCAGTTAATTCTGTTTGTAAATAGTTAATAGAAATAACGGAACGTGAAACCAAAATATAAAAAGATCTTTTTGATTCTTTATTTAACTTCGAGCTTTTTGGATTTTCTGCCGTGCAACATAACCTCACTTATCAACTTTTTAAGTAAGTACATTAAAATCCAAATATAAGAACAAAATTGTGAAATAAATGTGTTTGATTAATAATATGTAATGTGAAAATAAAAATATAAAATATTGTGAAATTAAAGAGACTGAAAACATAAGATAATCTGATAATGTGAAACCATTTTAAAGTGATTTATGAAAGTTTTGATTTTGAATCAAAATGTTTTGATTTTGTTTTATTAAATATAAAATAATTACAATGTTGTGTTCATAATACAAAATAAAATATTATAAATCGTAATTACTTTAACAGACACAAATATAACTAGTACAATTTTTTATACATATATATATAGGTCTTGAATTCAAAAGCTTTTTCTAAAAATAATTGAATTTAAACTATTTAGAGTGACGATGTCGAATATCGATCCTAGAAACGTTAAACAGATATGTATAATAGTGCAAAAAGTTGTCCCTTTTCATATGGGCGTTCACATATATATTTTATAATATTCTTTAATTGAAATTATTGCACAATCTAAAGCAAAAAAATTATTAGAAAGATAGACTTAAAAAAATAATTAAAAAATTTGTATTCCATTTCAAGTTATTTGATTATGCATTGAAGTGTCTTCAATATTGTGTAGCACTTAAAACAAGTGTAAATTTGAATTAAAGTATAAGTTTTTAATTCTTTAAATATGTCAAATTACATTTTAAAAAATTACAATCAATTACTTTGATTAAAAACAATTTAGTAATAATAATAAAAATTTCCAATTCACGGAATTAAACTATTAATTGAAGCAATTTTGTCTTCAGATTGCTAATCATCAAGGTACCTTAATACTTAAATCAATTTACAATAATGTTTATAGTTTAGTGATATTTTGGAAATTGTTATATTTCTTAATAATTTTTTATAATAAAAATTTAATTGTTTTTAATGTTATGTGCCTTAATTTTTAGTATTGAAATATTTGTGTAAAAAATACATTACTTGATATTCAGTTTTTATTCAGTTTATATTTATTTTTTTATTTAATATTCAAGATTTTCTTTGTATTATTTTTTTCGGTTTTCAATATACGAATATAAACATAAAAATGTTTGTAAAATGTTTTTTTTCAAACAAAAGACATTTTTAACATTTATATTTATATTGTCGATTATGTTTATTTATGTTTAGGGTACTTCTATCACTTTTATCTTTGAAAATTTCGATTTATTAGTTGATATATTTCCATATTTTAAGAAAATGATTTTTTATGCAAAGCCCTCTGCCTGGTAAAAATTTCAAAACCCTTTACAGTATTAAAATTGAAATATTTTGATTCAAATTTTGAACTTGAAATGTGATTTGGAAAAAATTTCAAAATTTAAATGTCAGCCTTCATATGTCTTTCCGTCTATTTTAATAAAAAAAATAAAGTTCAATAATTTTATTCGTTGACAAATACTTTGCTTATTTAAAAAAGTATAGTACTACCTGTAATTTCTGATAATATCAAAGTTTCAAACGCGTGAGAATTTAGCTCTATATGATTTTTAAAAAAGTAGCAATAATACATTTTATAGAAATTTCAATCCCATAATTTTTAAAGAAACGTGTGATAAAAATAAGGTGACTGTTATTCTTGTTCAGGGCAAAAATTATTATCTCAAGATTACTAAGGCTCATACATTAAATCGGCATTTAATTGCCGGTTAATCGCTGAACGTTGTAGAAATATATTCTTATAACTTTTTGGAAAAAAAATTAATTTTCCAGTCAAAGAAAAAAACTGCGTGTCGTCAAAAGTCCTTTAAAAACCTTTAAAACAATATTTTAAGATTTTTAGTTCTTACCACGAGTCAAGCTTGCTAATTGATTTGAAATATATTTGGTCTATTGGTAAAACAATGAAAATATTTTTTCAGTTTTTTTTTAAACGCATTTACATATAATTTTTTTTATAATTTCTTAAATGAGTTTCTCAGCAGACGATATACTGATTACATTCGCGTTCAGTTTCTCTGTGTATAATCAGCTGCAGAACATCTACCTATTAATTTAGGTAAGTATTTCTATTTATTTTATTTTCTAAAATGAAAAAAGTGCGTACAAATCTTTTGATTTTTTAAAACTAATCAGTCCGATATTTTTCGTGTTTTAATTCATTTTTAATGCTAAATTTTTCACTTCAGTCGTACTAATTACATCAAGATTTTATTAAATCATAATGTGGAGCAAAAAGATTTACTTCTTTTTGTAAGCACACTAAAACAATTTTTTTCTGTTTTAAATAAATTAAAATTAATATTAAGAAGTTGTTAAAACAAGCCTTCGATATATTTATAAAATATTTGAGTATACAAACAAACTTATGTTTATTTTCAATTGTCAAAGATCAATCCTATGAGAAACGACCTTCATAACAACGGATATGAGACATGCATATATCCATGGCACGTTCTATAAATATCAATCAACTTTTGTCAGCTTGGATATTCCTAGGATATCCACAATGCTAAAAGTAGATGGATATTCAAAGGACATCTAAGAGATATTCTTAATATCCTGGTAACATGAAGCGTCTGGATGAAAATTACCAAATTTTAATGGTCCAAGGTGCTTTTCATGAAGAGATCAGATTTTAAAGTCCAGGAAAGGTAAGTCACTTATTACTTGGATAAATGTTTCCTTTTCATAAATAAATCGCTAATGGTTATTGTTTAAAAACTTTTGTTATGCCTTGTGTTTTTCAATGTGGTTAGATATTTATTTGTGCTTTTTTTATTGGAGGTAATTAATTTGTTAGAGATTATTATGTTTCAATGTCTTCCTTAAAGATTTTTCTGTTTTCATAAAAGGCAATAATATTCCAAAAAAAATAATTGGATTCATAAGGAAATAAACGAACTATTTATTGCACTTTTTACATTTATCATTGTTTACAAACAATTATTTAAATACAGTACATAAAGAAATGAAAAATGAAATTAATATTTTTAAGTCTCTTCTTTTCATAGGGTAAAGGCACCAAGGAACTATCATTTTAACAAGTGCTATTCACTGTCCTGAATTTTTATATAAAAATATGGTTAGAATATAATAATAAATATACATACAATATTCCCTGTGGGCAAAAAACCATGTTCGTTCTAAAAACGTTTTTAGAACGTTTCATGTCTACCAAATAATGTTCTGGAACATAATTTGAACATCCATGTTCTTAAAATGTTCCTGAACATTATTTGGCGGACATGAAACGTACTAAGAACGTCTTTAAAACGTTTTTAGAACGAACATGTTTTTTTGCCAACAGGGTTAAATATTAGTAATTTGAAATAATAAGTAAAAAATGTTTCAACAGTTAAATGAAAAGTTGAATATAGTGACATTATTTCGTACACTTCATCGCTTGGGGGGAAGACTGTGCCATCTGAGAGCAACGACGAAAAAGATGCCGTTTCACGTGATTAGTGAAAACTGTGCGTTTTTGCGGAAGCGGTGAGAAACGTGCCTGCTCGGACGAACGGTAAAGAAAGTGCCATTTCAACGATGCAAAATTTTTTTCCTTTTTTTTGGTTAGTAATACAATGACGAGAAGTATTCTTTATTAACTTTGCTTTTTAAACAATTTTAAAAGTATTTTTAGCTTCTTGAATGGAAATTATTCTTACTTGGTGATATTTTGTCATCTTATCTAGTTGTTTTATTATAAGAAAAAATTTTTCATCTTGGAAATGGGCCTTTCTTCACCGATCGCCCAAACAGGCACGTTTTTCATTGTTTCCACGAAAGGCACAGTTTTCACGGATTCCGTGAAACGGCATATTTTTCGTCGTTGCTCTCAAGTGGCACAGTCTTTCCCCCCAAGCGACGACCTATTTTAAAGGAACATAGCAACACTTAAAACAATCTTCATAAAAACATAAATTAGATAATAAAAAAATTTTTTAGCTATTATTATTGCTATTATTATTATTACTCCATTGATTATAAATTTTATAAGCAAATTACTAGTAGAACCACTAAAGCTTAGGAAGAGCAGTTTTTTCCGACCCTTGTTTTTCTGTATTTATAGTAAGAATACCGAAAATGTGTACAATTAGTTATTTAACTTTGCTTAGAAATGTTGAAAAACATTATTCAGAACTAGCTAAAAGAAACGCGCGTAAACGCGCGTGGTATCTATAATAATTTTTTATAAAAAATTAAAAAGTTATTTTTATTTCACGGACAGTTATGGGAATTTTGATCTCACAAAAATAATAATATTATTTTTGTAATCGTTACTGTATTACTATTTCA